TCTCTCTCTCTCTCTCTCTCTCTCTCTCTCTCTCTCTCTCTCTCTCTCTATATATATATATATATATATATATATATATACATATTATTTTGCAATTAGAATAGGGCAGATCACCTTATAGTGGTTGAGATTCAGTGTTTCAGCACGTTCACCTGTCTTGAGCTTGGCTCCTTGGGCCATTTGATGATTGGCAAATGCCTGGAAGGGAGAAGAGGTGCAGTTCAGTTCACCTCAGTTTGTTTCTTCCCTTGGGATCTTAGCTTCTTCAGGTCAGGATACCTTTGTAGTTTTGTGTTGCATTCAGACAGCTGTTGGTGTGTGTGTGTGTGTGTGTGTGTGTGTGTTGTTCCCTGCTGTCCTTGCCTTTCTCAGCAGGACAGTTGTTTAAACTTAAGCCAGTAAAGGGCATGGGAAGTTGGATATGGGTGTTCAGTGATTTCTTAACATAAAATTTGTAAAAGTATTTTGTTTCCACAGTGTCCTTTCTATTTTCCAAAATTACATGTATGAAAACAAAGTTGGTTACTTCTTTCCAAGACCCTGTTAAAATACAAATGTCTTAATTATATTCATACTTAGAGATGGACCTCTGCATTCCCCTAATCGTTAATGACGGTTTTTTAAACGTGCATTACAGAGGCAGATATCTTTGTCAGAAAACAGAAGAAAGGAACTTCTCCAGAGGATCATTGTGGAGCTTGTTGAATTTATATCTCCCAAAAGCCCTAAGCCTGGAGAACTTGGAGGAAGGATATCTGGGTCCTTGGCGTGGAGAGTAGCCCGAGGTGAAACGGATCCAGAGGTATTTACTTCATTACAACCTGATAACCTTCTCACTTTACCACTTCCTGTCCTGTGCCCTTTACGTACAGAAAAACACGGTTGGCCACGACCTTTCAATGAACTTTGCAGGGTAATTATTAAAAAAATGTAAACATTTGAAGAGAACCAATAATAGATTGATGTAGTATAATTACATACAAGAGTTAGCAAAGCAATTAAAATGGGATTTTTCTGTTGTTACCTTATGTAAATTTCTAGGGCAGTTATGACTAAAGTACATAAAAACGCATTAATTGTAAGTGTACAGCTTAACAGAGTTTCACGAATTGTGGTTCCTCATGTGACCACTAACCAGAATAAGAAGTCAGACAAGCAGGTGTCTGAAAGACCTGAGTTCCCTTCCAGCTACTGCCCTTCACCCCTAAGAGTGACCTTTTTCCTGGTTTCTAATATCATGGACTAGTTTTGCCTGTTATTGTGCTTTATGTAAATGGAATCATACAGGATGTACTCTTTTGTGGACGATTTCTGTCTCAACATTATTTAGTGAGATTCACACTTGTTGCTGCGTGTTTATAGTACATTTATTTTCTCATTGTGGTATAATATTCCACTGTGTGAATATAGTATAATTTATCCACATCACTATTGGGTATTTGGGTTGTTTCTCGATTTTGGCTTAAAATTGTGCTGCTGTGCTATTTACAGTAGCCAAGACATGGAAACAGCCTAAATGTCCATCAACAGATGAATGTATAAAGAAGATGTGGTACATACACACAATGGAATATTACTCAGCCATAAGAAAGAATGAAGTAATGCCATTTGCAGCAACACGGATGGACCTAGAGATTATCATACTAAGTGAAGTAAGTCAGACAAAGACAAATATTACATGATATCACTTGTATGTGGAATCTAAAACATAATACAAATGAATCTATTTACAAAACAGAAGCAGACTCCACAGACATAGGAAACAGACTTATCGTTGCCCAAAGGGGAGAGGAATGGGTTATAAATTAGGAGTATGGGATTAAGAGATGCACACTACCATGTATAAAAGAGATAAACAACAAGGGTTCACTGTATAGCACAGAAAACTATATCCAGTATCTTGTAATACCTGTAATGGAAAATAACCTGAAAAATATATATATAGAAATAACTGAACCACTTTGCTGTACAGTTGAAATTAACGCAATATTGTATATCAACTATACTTCAGGTTTTTAAAACTTATGCTGCTGTGAACATACACAGACATGTTTTCAGTGAATGTGTATGCGTTTCAGATGGGTGCCTACCCAGGAGCAGAATGGCTGGATCGCAGCGGTAGTGTGAGGATGTTCGGCTTTAGTGGATGCCACGGAGCAGTTTCCCAGAGCAGTTGTGCCGGTTTACACCCTCCCCAGCAGTAAATGAGACTTTTCTACGGCTCTGCCTATAGTTGCCTGTCTGTCTTTTTCATGTTAGCATTTCTGGTGGTATATAGTAGTGATAGTATTATATTGTGATTTTATTATTTTTTTTAGTAAGAAATTACTTTTTTTTTCCCTAGAAAACATAGGGGTTTTTTAAAATGTATTTATTTTTTATTGAAGTATAATTGATTTACAATGTTGTGTTTCAGGTGTACAGCAAAGTGATTCAGTTATACGTACATATATATTTTTTTTTCCGATTTTAAATTTGCACTTTGGTGCTGAATGATGAAGTTGAATGTCTATTCTTTAAACTTTCGTTTATTTATTTATTTTTATTTCTGGCTGTGTCAGGTCTTCGGTTGCCGCATGTGGGATCTTACTGTTGCGGTGCACGGGCTCTTCATTGCAGCGCGTGGGCTTCTCTAGTTGTGGCGCGTGGGTTTTCTCTCTAGTTGCGGCGCGTGGGCTCCTGTAGTTTGGGGCGCGCAGGCTCTCGTTGAAGTGCGCAGGCTCAGTAGCGCGGCGCACGGGCTTAGTTGCCCCGCGGCATGTGGGATCTTAGTTCCCTGACCAGGGACCAAACCCATGTCCCCTGCGTTGGAAGGTGGATTCTTAACCACTAGGCCACCAGGGAAGTCTCATTCTTTAAACTTTTGGATATCCTCTTTTGTGAAGTCCTGTTCAGTGCTAGGAAAACTTTATAAAGTGGGAAAAATAATAGAACCTGGGTAATTCAGCGGATGAAAGTGTGTATTTCTTATTACATACTTGCCTGCATCTGGTTTGGGCTAGAAAGTGTTGTTGCTCTGAGTACTGTTATATAGTCAAACTTATTTGAAGATATTATCACTTGATTAGTCTCCCAAAATTAAATAATGAACAATGGAAATGTAATTTCTAGAGTTAGGGACTAGCATTAAAGCAGTGTGCTCTGTAATGGACATTAAGTACAATAGACTGTCCTTTGCTCTTAGGGAGCTTAAAGTTGACTCACTAGAAAGTATTTAATATAAACGTCTAAGAAGATAAGCAATGAAAAATGCTTGAAAGGAAAATAATCCATCACAGTAGAAGTATCAAACAGCTCCACACAAAGTTTTATACCTACTTTTTCTAAATTTGCCAGTTACACCTCATTTCTCTAATAAAGGAATATGTCCCGAAGGGGAGAATTATCTCTAGTAAACTTTGTTTACTTTTAAATTTATCCCATCATCTTTAGCTGGCAGTTAGAAGTGTTGGTTCAGCTATAGAATTACAAGATCTAATTTCAACAAATAATTCAGATCACTGCTGATGCAGTGCAAGTTACAAGTCTAAATCTAAATGAAGCCAATTGAAAAGAGCTAATGTAATTCACAGCTGTGTTCAGTTTAAAATGGGGGTATTTAGGTCTTCGCTTCTTTTTCTTTTTGTGGATGAGTGCGCTTCCTCTTGCATGGCATATACATTGATTAAACTTTAAAAATATGAATTGGGTCCTATGCCCGGATTGTTTTCCCTGATGAACATTTTTTAAATTTCTCAATTATTGGAGACCATATTAGGGCCGTGGATTTAAAAAATCATTTTCCTCTTTACAAATAGATGTTTGTTTTAAAAGCCAGCCCTAAAAAATTAGGGAACTGTATCTTGAAATCGGTTGGAAAAAGAAGGAAACATTGGTGATATTTTCATAAAGAGAAGTTTTGTCTTATATTTTAAAGAAATTATGAAATATATATTCAATAACGTATATTTTTCTTTTCCCTTTGGTAATTAGTTATCCTTGGTAAAATGATAGACAATGCTACTTTAATATTTTAATTCCATCTGGGTTATGTCAGCACTCTGAAATATCTTTGATAGAGAAGAGGAGAATTGAGAAGTATTGTTACATGCTCGTTTTAAAGCGTAGTATACTAATTCATAGTTAGAAAATCACCTTCTAAAAATAATAAACTGCCTTTTTTTTTTTAACCTTAACCTTATCCAGGTTCTGCTAGGGAATTATCTTGTTTATACATTTATAAATATTTTTCTCTTTCCATCTCTAAGATGTTTTATATTCTACTTATTGATCCTTGTACATTTGAAGTTTTTACATTGTGTACTACCTAGTTCCCAATGTTTAACAGGAAAGCATCACCTACTATCTTGATTGATTAGTAAATTGATTAGTTAGAAGCAAGACGTTGATACAGACTAGAGCAGTGGTTCTCAACAGTGGATGACTGTCTTCCAGGAGACATCTGTAATGTCCAGGGACATTTGGGGGGTTCCAGCTGTGAGGGGCAGTACCACTGGCATCTGGTGGGTGAGGGGCCAGGGATGCTGCCGAGCAGCCTGCAGTGCACAGGGCAGCCCAGCCCCGCACACCACATGCTGCTATCCTCACATCTGAGCGGGAGGGGACGTTGTGTCGGTGCCACAGACAGGCGTGGGACAAATACATCCTCTTCCTCAAACCTGAGATTCAACCGGTGATTTCAGGCGACTGTTTTACATTAAAATAAACATTTATTTTGTAATAGAACGCAAAATTTGCCTGGAATTTTAAGGTGAAACAGGAGTTTTTGTAGCAATTTCACATGTGCGGAAGATTGTTTCCAGCTATACCTCCCAGGCACTGTCCTTTCTTCGGGCATCAAGAAAGGACCCTGGTGAAACGGCTTTAGCCTGAGGCCTGAAGGGTGAGAAAGAATCACGTAGCTGGAGAGTAGAAGGAACAGCATTCCAGACGGAGGGAACAGCATGTGTCACGGCCCCATGGCAGGAAGCAGCTGGGCCTTTGTGAGGAACTAAAGAAGAAGTAACACGGTGCGGGTGAAGAGACCACAGAGAAGGGTGCCGTGGGATCTGGTTGGAGAAGGAGCACAGGACAAGCCACGTGGGCCCTGGTAGCCCTGGTAGAGGTGTGGCGTTCCTGTGCAGTGAGAGGTCAGTGGAGTCAGTTAAGCAGGAAGGTGAGGGACTTCCCTGGGGGGTCCAGTGGTTGAGACTCCGCACTTCCACTGCAGGGGCCGTGGGTTCGATTCCTGGTCGGGGAACTAAAGTCCCCCATGCCATGTGGTGCAGCCAAAAAAAAAAAAAGTGATGTGTCCCAATTTACATTTTTAACAATCACGTTGATGACTGTGTGGAGAAGTGAAGAGTTGAAAGCTGGGAAATCAGCTGTAGGAGAGGATTGCAGCATCCAATTAAGACATGGTGGTGGAAATGAAGTCATGTTGACACAAAATCCGAAAAGTGTAAGTCAGCTACAGTTTATATTTCTTGTTTTCTGTCTAGTAATGTTTGGTGCTACGTCAGCATCATCCTGTTCATATTTAATCTGTAAAATATTTTCCAGATTTTCCAATGGCACCAGTTTTTCATTTTCAAGTTGAAGGAATCTCTTAACCACTATCCATAGCAGTACCTCTCTATGTATCTGTTTTCTATTATGTTGAAAAGCTAATTCTGCTTTCTTTTTAAGAGTAAAGAAACCCTGTTCATCCCCTCTGAAAACGAGAAGATTTCTAAACAGCTCCACCTTTGCTATAATATAGTAAAAAATCATTATGTCCGCATTTCAAGTAATAACCAAACCATTTCTGGATGGGAGAATGGTGTGTGGAGAATGGAATCCATATTCAGAAAAGTTGAAACAGACTGGAACATGGTAACGTAATGCATGAAGCTGTTTAAAACTTCAGTCGTTGTTTAAACAAATATAGATTGGCTTCATTTTTCAGCTCTGCATAATGTGAAAACGGATATCAAAATTACTTTTAGTAATGCTTGAAGTTGTAAAAGAAGATCCTGCTCTCTGTTTAATGAAATGTCCATTCGAAATCTGTGTTTATATCAAGAAAGTATCCATTTTCATCAAAGAGGCCGAATTTAATTCTTTCATGGGGAAAAATAATCAAGTGTATGACCAACTCATGTGACTAGTTTTTGCATGAATATGTAGAGTATACCGTTATCCACTTCCTTCATAGATGTGTACTGATTGCCTGCTACGGGCAGGCTCTTAGGGACTGTAACCCATTTAGTCCAAAGTCCCAAGAGCTAACCATCTAACACACTTCTGTTTCATAAGAATGTCGATGATTGAGCGGCGATATTGGTTATTTCTCCTCTGTTTCCTAAAGATAAAGGGAGAAATGGATGGTGTGACTGTAGTAGTTCATTATACCAACTTGTACATTGTTGTCACTTGTTGTCTGGAATAAGAGACTTTGCTTTTAGACTGCCCTCCCCCTTAGGCACACACCAAAAACAAGCTCAGAGCAACTCAACATGACCTCAGTAGGTCCGACCATATTATTGATGGGTTTCACTGGAGTGAATGAGCTTATAGGCAGCTTTAACCCCCTGAAGAGTGAGAAGCTGTTCACTTGTAAGACATAGTGAGTAGATTTAGCAGGTGAGTCACAGATGAACAGCTGCTGGTGTTCATGAGCATCTACTACATGCTTATCACTGTACCAGCCATTAATCAGAGTACAGAGGACATACAAAGATAAGGTCCCTGCTTTCTTCCACCACCACCACCACCCCGCCATAGGTTTTTGTTCTAAACTTACCTTGGTGCTTATTTTGACCATCTTTCTGTATTAAGCCAAGAATGATTTGTAGGCTTATTGAGATTGTAGATGGAGGAATTCTCTCCCTTAGTTAAGGAAGGGCATAAAATGTAATACAAGATAAAATTTAAAACTTCAAGATATGTGTATCTGTAATTGACTCTTCTCGCTGATGAGAGAGGATGAGCTTCTTCTGGAAAACCAACCTTACCTGAAGAATTGCTCTGAACAGAAAGCAGGAGAGGACAGACGTGGCGTTTACCCAAGGACTAGCGTGTGCTGAACTGGAGACAAGGCATGCCTCGCGCCCTGACCACCGGCCTGGTGGAGAAGACAGCACTGTGCCGAGGAGCAGGGCTAGTGTGTGGCCTGCTCGCGTCCTGCTCCCGCGTTTGCTCATCGGCACACGCACACCGAGCGCCTGCTGTACCCGGCACGGCTCTCACCGCGAGGACGCGCAAGTGAAGGTGCCACCGGTGTCGGCCCTCACAGTCCAGGAAGCGTGAGCAGCCACGACGCAGGGCGCTGTAACAAGGACGCCAGCGCGTTGCCATGGGGACTGCGGGAGGCTGGCGGAGCGCCACAGCGCCGGCGCCGCTGGGGCTGCGCGCGGAGAGCGGAGTAGGTGCTCGCGAGGCAGCAGGGCCGGAGCGTGCAGGGCAGGGCTCGCTTCCAGACCTCTGAGTAGACGGTCGTGGCCGGAGCCGGAGTGTTGTGTGAGAAGGCTTTACGTAAGGCAAGTGAGGTGTGAGGGCCATTAAGTATGAAACAGCCTACTGAAGCAAAGTTTGTGCCTTCATATGCTTTTACGAGGGGCCCCATTTTTCAAAAAGCCGAACGAATCCATTCCCGGTTAAAATACTTATTACTAAATGAAGAAGAATGCTGGAATTGTAACCGCGCTTGTAGAGACGAATCACTCCGAAGTCATATGTCGCCATTTAAAACATGAATTTTTCGCCTAAATCAACCTCTGTCGTTCTGTTCGAGGGCGCCCCTTGCTAGGGATTCTCTAACTCGGCTAAAACTAGAGGCGCATTCCACTCAGTAGTCACCACGCTGGAGTCACGGCGGGTCCCGTGCAGCCCGTCTGTGGGTGATTAGAACAGAACCTTACGCTCTCACAGTGGCAGCCTCCCGGGAGCACAGAGACTCTCTGAATTTTACTCCTTAGCAAAGACACTGTTCAGTGGTGTCTGGATTTGAAGGGAACATAAAAAGCTCAATCAAGAGTCTCCTTTTTAGGAGGCAAGTAATAACACCCTGATAAAGGTGATGTTAGTGGCTTCCTGACTAGTCTCCCTGCATTGCCCTGGTCCCTTCAAAGATGTTTTTCTGGCTACAGCATGGGGAACGTTTTCAGAACCCCGTTCGTTACTGAGTGCTCTCAGGGTGAGAAGCAGCTCCGGTCTCTTGAGTCTGGCCCTCACCTTGCACCACCAGGCTGCCCCCTGGCTCTCTGCATGCGCTGCCCTGCCCTGCCCCCCTCCCCGCGGAACCTCGTTTCTTTCCTTTCTGTGGGACTAACTTATTCTTACCTTTAGGACCTAAGTAAGCCTCATTCCGTCCAGTCCCGGCCAGCTGGTTCCTTTTACCCTGTATTGACTCGTGGCATCATGCCCCTCCCCTTCCTGAAGTTTATTCTACGCACGTGTGTGAGAACAGATTGTCTCTCTCCTACCGGACTGTAAACATTGTCCGGGCAGAGACCTTGTCTTTTCCTACTCACTTCTGTGCTCTCAGTATTCACATGTCTAGCATAGTGCCTGATACGTAGCAAATGTTTAATAATAAAGACGGGTATGGATGTGAGAGAGCGCTTGAGTGTGTACGGCATAAATTCTGCGGCACCCGAGGACCACGTCGAGCACCGCAGGAGCTCTGTTCATTCAGACTGTGCCCCGTGGATGTTCCTCAGTACTTTGCAGTTTTGAGCAGTTTTGTCATTCTCAATGCCACTAGAGTCACGTTAGCCCTTTCGGGCGCACGGCGTGATGTCAGGAATTGACCCCTTCAGCCATTCGGCAGCCGTGCGCCCTGTCATACTCTGTGCTCGGCACTTAGGGCCTAGTAGTGAGTTACGAGGCGCACCCAAGGTGAGCTAGGCCTGTGTAGGAGGAAGACACGTGGACCAGCTGTTTCGGTCAGCAAGGTGGGCGCTGGAAGGACGTGGGCCCGTGTGTGACACACGAGGAAGAGCCGCTGCACCTCACGCCGGAGCCCTGCAGCAGAAATGATATCCGAGGGGGCGGCAGAGGGGAGTTTCTCAGAGAGGGGCATGAGAAACAGTGTGCACACGCACAGAAGCGGGAAACACCCGCACCTTCAGAGAAGAAGAAGCAGTCGGGAACGCGGGGAATAAGGCCGGAGGGGTGAACGGTTGTCAGGCCCCAGGGACTTTGATGACCTTGCACTTATGCAGTAGGAAACCTTGCAGGAGTTCAGGCAAAGGAGGGCCATCATCATACTGGCCATCCAGAGGCTACAGATGGAATAAGTAGGAAGCATAGTCTGGAAAGATGTAAATACAGTGGGAACTGACAGTGTTCACGTTGGACCTCAGTTGAAAAATTGGAATAGCCAAAAATAAGATTCATGAGCCAGAGCAGCTTACTAGCATTCGATTAGGGTTTCTTGAAATACAGCTGCTCTGCTGGAGATCTGTAGGAATGACTGACTGCACCGTGAACTCAGAGTTCATCTCAGCAGCCGCGGCAGAATGAGAATTTTAAGTGTGTACTGAAGAGCAGCTTCAAACAGTGCAGTGCAAACTGAACCTCCAGGAAACCATAACAGCCGGCTAACCAGCCTGGCGTATTTCTCATGTGATGAGAAAACCTTTAAGTGCAGATCTTCCCAAGGATGTGAAATACGGAAAGAAGCTGATGTGCAGATTGTTCACAGTCTTGAGAGTAGTGGTCGCAGCCACAACCCGCAGGACCCGTTTCAGCAGGGCGCATGGCAAGCAGTATAACTTAGATCTGAAGCCACAGATGCACTGGTCTCATTCCTCCCCACAGGTTGTGTGTGATGTGCTTTCGTTGTCTACAGATGCCAGAGAGGGGCCAGGGTGGATCACGTACAAATTTAAAAAGCCAACAGGCAAAACATTTGTTGAAGGTAAATCAAGAAGTTCGGAACGATCAACAGTTGCAAAAATGCTTTTTTTCCCCTTTAGAGCAAACAGTTGCCTGTTTGAGAGGTTATAAAGTATTTTTTTCTCCTAAATAAATTATAATTACCGGTTCTGTTGGTTTTATACCTAGACAGGACCACAGTTGGAGGTTTACGTAAATCCTGATGTTTTGGTACATTTCAAAGTGCCAAACTGAGTATACATAGTGTACTCAGTTACCATAGTAACATCCTACAGTCTCTAAAAATGCTGAGTTAAATAAGTTGGTTAAAGTGCTACAGACAGAATATGTTGCGTCCAAAAGATGACATGAATTTTCAATATAAATAGGGTCTGCTTTATCTCCATACGCTGTTTCTTTAGCCTAAGAGAACTTTTATTTTTTCACAGTATGCTTAAAGGTTTATTTAAGCATCTAAGAATTCAATGATGAATTTCACCCTATCCTTTAACGTTTTAGAGTTGTAAAAACTGATGCCTTCAGGACTGAAAAATGTAAGTCTTAGAAAAAGCAATTTTCAGACATGTTCAACAGCCATTATAAGCCTTCTGTGACAGTTAAAAACAGTTCTAATTAGATTGTCTTCACTTTCTACTGTGATCAGGTATTGCTTTTCCATGTGTACCTGTAAGACTTTTCTGTCATATCTCAAAATTAGAAGCTTTAAGAAAGAAGAAGAAGAAAAAAATTTTGGCCCAGACTCACGTGATATAATTAAGGCAGTTCTTGGAGGTAAACTAGAACTTTGAAGTTAGCTTGACTTCAGCCTATCGTATTTTATATGCCCACGCTTTTAGGGGGGCATTTGAAGCCACTGAGCTCTGAAAACACACAAGACACAGAAGACAGGTATTGAGACATAAATATATTTGCCCCCTGTCTTTCAGTTTCTTCCCACCACCTTTCTTCCAGTGACCCCTCTGTCTGGCTCTTCTTTCCCAGGTAGCCCCCTTTACCAGCCTCCCCTCTGGAGGAGTAATTACATTATGGATAATCCCTAGGTGCCCAGGAGTTTAGTGTTGGTGAGACTAACAGCTCCCTGGCAGCTTTGCTGCAGCCCTGAGCCCAGGCCCTCCATGCACACAGCTCTCGGGGGAGCGAGCAGGAGGCACACACGCATCCGAGGTGCTAGAGTGAGGTACCCGGGACCCGAGTGGGGCAGGCGACCGTGCAGACAGCTGGGATGGTTGTGCAGGACAGCAGCAGGCGCTTTATGTGTTTCTGGTCTAAGGAGTTTTAAGTCATCTTCCCTGGAGAGTGATTGTTTAACGGTTTCATTGTCTCCAGCTCACTGATTCTAAAAACTCAAATTAGCCAGCATATTTAACCTGGAGGAAAACTAGGTAGAGGTTGCCGAGCAGAATAGCATATTAACAGCATGCTAGCAGTGACTGACGTTTTACTTGATGGCTGAGGGCTAGAATAGGAAGGAATTGGACATTTCCATGGCAGGTGTGTTTCATGCGGTACTGCCAGCTACTTGCCCCTGAGAAGTAGATTAGCTGTTTCTGAAAGAACGTGTGTGTGTGCGCGCGCAAGTTTCTAGTACTTAAATACCGTTTATTAAACCCCATAAATCCAGAGCCTGTGCCCCCAGAGCATTTATGATTTGGTTAAGTTAGATAATACAAGCACACCTGAAATAAAACAGTTATATTTGGGTCACGGAGTACTGGCAGTTCAAGGCGGGATGCACTTGTGGAGGACCATGAAAACTGTGAGTTTGGATGTCATGCAAGAGGCAGATACTTGCTGTACGTTCTAGACCAGCAAACCATAGGAGGCAGTGGGATGTTAAAAACATTAATTAGGCAGTTGCAGAAAGATGAGTGTAACGTCATGACCGAAGTGTTAAGTGCAGTAAGACCAAAGGAAAGGGTTTTTTGTTGTTTTTTTTTTTTCAAGACTTATTTCAAAGAAATGCATGGATTATTGTGGGAGTTTGGACATTAGGGATAAATGACTAAAGAGTCAGGTTCTCAGGGGTTCAAGCCTGGGTGAGTGGGCCAGGGCTGTGGACGTTCAGTTTTCACGTCAGCACATTTGAAGAGTGTGGATGAAACTGTGAAGGGAGCTGGACTGGAGGCAGCGGTCGGTCTGGACGTCTTAGGGAGGACATTGACGGTGGTCACAGCACTGATGGTGAAGGCCTGGGCAGCAGCCTGTTTAGAGAGGCTTGTGGGGAGCATGGACTTTTAGCCTTGTAAACCTTTCCTGTTGCTTAGCACTGACTGAGGTATTTGCTTGATTTAGAGGATATGGCCCATCTCATTCTAGGAAAGCTTATCTGAAAACCCAGGCTTAGAAAAGAAGATACATTAAGGAATAATTGCATTTAAAAAGACTCTTCATTTTCAGCAAGATTCATCATAAAGTTCATTTTAAATAGCTGGACTGGGGACTGCCCTGGTGGTGAAGTGGTTAAGAATCCACCTGCCAATGCAGGGGACACGGGTTCGAGCCCTGGTCCAGGAAGATCCCACATGCCGCGGAGCAACTAGGCCCGTGAGCCACAACTACTGAGCCTGTGCTTTAGAGCCTGCAAGCCACAGCTACTGAGCCCACGTGCTGCAACTACTGAAGCCCGTGTTCCGCAACGAGAAGCCACCGCAGTGAGAAGCCCGCACACCGCAACAGAGTAACCCCCACTGGACGCAGCCACAGAAAACCCACGTGCAGCAACAAAGACCCAACGCAGCCAAAAATAAACATATAAATAAATGTAAAAAATTAATAAATAAAAAATAAATAAATAGCTGGAGTTGGTAATTTAAAAGAGAATATGATTTACCAAAATTTTGGTTAGCATGCAGCCTTAGGGCTCTACTTACTGAGGCACCTGTATTCAAATAATACCTTACATCCATAGCAAAAGACGCTATCGCAAAGATTGCTAATAAAATGAAAAATTGTTAGCAGTAAAAATCTTTTCAGTGGGGAAAAGTTATGTTTTAAATAACCATTTGTGCATAGTTCCTGTGGCAATAAGACTTTGACTATATGTGTTTTTCTACACTGTTTGATTATCTCTGACAGTTCCTTTTCTCCCACCTACTTTATAGGTGTATTTAACCCGAAAGGAAGGATCGTCTTATGCTTACATTTCCTGGAAGTTTGAATGTGGGTCAGTTGGCCTCAACGTAGATAACATTTCCATTAGAACAAGTAGCCAGACCTTTGAGACAGGAACAGTACAGTGGAAATTGAGATCTGATGCAGCACAAGTAGAGCTGGCGGGCGGTAAGCATTTGACGGGAGAAGTAATCATGAAGTGTGTGTTCAGCACTCTGAAGGGTGATTGTGCTTATCTGAGATGTAGTTAAGAGTTTTCCTTAGCCTAGAGTTATTCATACTGTTGCAGTAAAAAAAAAAAATTTAAGTTAAAACCTGTAGTTTAACCTCATTATTAATAGTAGGGCTGATGTTTTTCATTGTGAAACACAGATGGAAGGAGAAAACATCATTTCTTTTTTCAGAGGACACATTTCCTCCATAAAGAATAATTTGTATTTATTTTTTAAGGGTTGATTTTTACCTATAAGGCAGGTATGTCAAATGCATTCCGAAACTACCTCTTCATGTTCTTACCAAAAGCAAAGTGTTAATTTTTTTTTTCTCCAACAGATAAAATTCTTCGCTCCTATCATGATTTTTCTGGTGCCACTGAAGTTATTTTGGAAGCAGAATTAAGCAGAGGAGATGGTGTTGTTGCTTGGCAACACACCCAGCTGTTTAGACAAAGCTTAAATGACCCAGAAGAAAATTGTTTGGAGATAATTATAAAATTCAGTGACCTTTGAGAACCTGAACATTATAGAAAAGCTGGCAATAATCAAGGACATAGCATGTTCTAAAGTAGTCTGTTGGTTCCCTGCATGCTTAGATGGCAGTGTTCTACCCCCTGCTAGCATATTTCCTTGTTGGCTATCCATCGTGTTAACCCTCATGAAAATGTATCTTTTTACTGTGGACCCTCATGAAACCTTGAATTAAAAGCTTCCTTCCATATGTGACTCTGATTTGGAGTGAAGTCTTACTGCCCCACTATGAGATTTTAACCTAAAAATTGTAAGTATGGTTTTAAAAGTAAAATGAAGGTATTCGTGATTAAATGCTATTCGTGATTATGATGACATCTTAAGCTAATAATAGTAACTTGACAGTTTCTGATCATTCTGGCATTAATTTCTCCGTAAGTAATTGAAATAGATTTCCTAAGATTTTTAAATTTTTAATAAACGTGAAAGTGTAGTATTTCATAAGTTATAGAGCATGAAAATTTTTATGACTGTAAATACGTACGCATTTAAGAAATAAAATGAATTATTTTGCGTTATATCTTTTTAGTGATTACTTTGGCTAAATAAAAATCATAAGTATGCTAAACATTGAAAACCACTTGAATAGACAAGAATTATGAAAACAGTTAACACTGCATAAATTCAAAGATACATTATAAATCCATAATATGTGGACACTTCTGAAAATGCTTTACTTTTGAGTTTACTTTTGAGTATTTTTATCTACCTCATTGAATAAAATGTTTATTCTTGACTTTGAAACTATGTAACTGGGATTATTCAGTGTGTATACACTGTATCAAGAGTGTGTGTGTGTGTGTGTTCCATGTAACCTCTCCAGTTAAACTTAGTGAACATTTATGAAGTGTTTGTGTGCACCGCAAGAGATGCGGTGACGAAGACGACCAGGCCCCACTCCCTAAATGCTTTTTGTCGCGTTCTGCAGAGCGAGTTCTCAGCTCTCCCGGCCAGAAAAGTACGTTCTCAGACATTCTCACCCTGTGCAACTCACTAGCATGTTTACATGCGTTGTGAAATATGTACTGGAATTCTAAAACAAAGGTCTTATGTTTTCTTTTTAATTGTAGTCCAACTCTGCTGAGGATCACCTTCTTGCTAAAAAGTTAACACTTAAAGGTAGCTTGTGCGTCTAAATTTATTAATACGTCTCGAATATTAGAAAATTTTCTGGAATTCTGAAACTCTTAAGTTAATCATAGCATCGTAGAGTGGCCAAATACGTGAAATTGGACAGCCTTGTCTCCTACCTGTCTCGAAGTGTCTGGTTTTGTCACGGTAAGCATTTGGATGATAAGTGGAACAACACTCTTCATGAGAAAAACTGGAGCTTGACAAGCAGTCTTGTTAAAGATGGCAATAGAGATAAACTGAATGTACTTTATCTATGAAAAGGAAACATTCTAATTTTTGCTGTGGCTTTAAGCAGAAAGTTCAAATGTCCTGTATTTTTACAGAGTTGAACTACTGAAGAGAAAAGCAGTTGCACACTTTTCCTAAGTGTGTTCCTTGAGAGTTTCAACTTCAGGGTACCTGACGCACGTTAATAGATATTTTATGATACAGACAAGTTTGGCAATAGTACAGAAGGTATGAGACAAAGCAATTCTCAGTAATGTGTACGGCATAGTGAGTAAACCAGTAAGGCAAAAGTAACTGAGGCAGAGACGGGCTGTGATAGTACAAACCCCGTGAATAAACAGGCAGTCATATTAGCTGCCCTTTATAAAGCAGTCATCGGAGATCTTTTATTATTTTCCTTCCAGCTGAAAAATTGTAATTAATTTGCAGGGTTTTTCATTTATCTCGATCAAAACAAATTTCAGAATCCAAATATATGATACCAAAACTAGACCATTTATATTTTGTAAAAATTAATAATAAGCCTCTCTTAAAACCTTTACAAGATACAAATCTAAAATACAAATGCTTAGGGAGTGGTTTCAAAAGTGTTCTTTATCTGTGAACCAGTGGCATCAGTATCACCTAGAGACTGCTAGAAATTTAAATTCTCAGTCCCCACCTCAGACTTACTGGATCAGAAACAACCCTCCAAGTGATCCTGGGATCTTATTGTAAGAGCCCTCAGTCTGCGGTGACCCCGGGGTGAGCGCACAGCGCTCAGGAGACACCTGCACCAGGCTGCAGAACCACCGGCTGGTCGGTGAGCCCCTGCTGTCATTGCTCACCATCTAACAGGCTTTATACCTCGGCGTCCTGAGCAGCTTTACAGACTGTCTGCTTTCTGTTGCAGTGTTGTTTTTTTAAAGTAGGTCCTTTGCTGGAAATCACATTCTCAAGATGAACAAGAAGTTACATCTGATGTTTTGATCACTTTAGAAGGAAAAGAAGTGCCTCAGATTAAGGGCGGGCTAGAGAACACGGTGTCATGAATTTGGGGGTAGGGGGGGTTGTTAGAGATCATTTAATCCAGACCCCACACTTTTCCCAGAGGAAGCTCAAGCCTGGAGAAGGGCCTGTCTAAACAATGCAGTGGATTAGTAACACAGGCAAGATTGACTTGTACACTCAGTGTTCCCTTCTACCGAGTTGCAGGGTTGTAACACAGGGTTGTAATCCTATAGCATTCTAGTCCTGTGTGTGGGCTGCTGTTGTATTACATGTTTCATGAATACAGATACTTTGGTAGGAATGTTCAAGTTGAGGAGATACTAAAACTGATGTTAGAGCCAGTTATTTTTCTAACTATAGTTAAGCTTTCCTGGAGAGTAAATGTATTATAATTTGATAATAGATAACTATAGATATATATGCTTTGGTATTTTTTTCTCTACAAAATAAATTGTGTTTTGATTTTATAGTTCAAGCAAATACACTTTTTAAAATTTATTGAAGTATAGTTGAGTTGCGATGTGTTAATTACTGCTGTACAACAGTGACTCAGTTTTATATATTTATTTATATGTGTGTGTGTGTGTGTGTGTGCGTATATATATATATATACGCACACACACACACCTTCTTTTTCATATTCTTTTCCATTATGGTTTGTCACAGGTTGTTGAATATAGTTCCCTGTGCTGTAGAGTACGACCTTGTTGTTTATCCATACTATATAGAATAGTTTGCATCTGCTAAACCCAAACTCCCAATCCATCCCTCTCCCACCCCGCCTCCCCCTTGGCAACCACCAGTCTGTTCTCTATGTCTGTGAGTCTGTATTTGTTTCATAGATAGGTTCATTTGTGTCATATTTTAGATTCCACATATAAGTGGTATCATATGGTAAAGCAAATACCCTTTTTTTTTTAACATCTTTATTGAAGTATAATTGCGTTACAATGGTGTGTTAGTTTCTGCTGTATAACAAAGTGAATCAGCTATACGTATACATATATCCCCATATCTCCTCCCTCTTGCGTCTCCCTCCCTCCCACCCTCCCTGTCCCACCCCTCTAGGTGGTCACAAAGCACCGAGCTGGTCTCCCTGTGCTATGCGGCTGCTTCCCACTAGCTAGCTATTTTACATTTGGGAGTGTATATATGGTCTGTCATACAGAGTGAAGTAAGCAAATACACTCTTAGAAGCTGCGATCAAGGTGGTATTCCTTCCTGAAGTACTCATGAGAAGAATAAGGGTAAACCATACATGATTGTGGTTTTATTGGTTTTATTCCCCTTAGGATGTATTCAGGTACATCCTTTATATCGACCAAACCAGTGCTTTATTTCTGATCAGAGATTTAGAATGGACCTACACTGATAGTGGCCACCTTTTGAGTGTCTACTAGGTACCAGTGGCTTTGGTGTCTCATTGGATCGTAGTGGCACTGTACAGTAGGTAGTATATCTTGTCCCCATTTTATAGCTGATGAAACAAAGAGGCTGAGAGTCAGGTACCTTAATACCAGACTAACAGCCGTTTCCCATTCATTACACCCCGAGTGAAAGTGAAAGCAGACTCAGAAGTTGAGACCTTGCTCTTATTTCCTTAATTTTCTAAAGACTTGATCTGAGATCAACAAAATTGTAGCAGCAACTAGAAATCCATAAGTGAGCCATAAAGGGTCTCCGAAGAGCTCAAATAAAGTCTAGCCACAGAAGCCCAAATTCTTTACTGTGAGAGGGCACTTTGGGTTGTCACTCAAAGTCTGTTATTTTCCCGTTTTAAATGTTTAGATTATTTATTTTGTTAAAAATTCAAACAAGACAGTATTATGAATTAAAAGTGCTGCCTTCACGCCCCACTCCTCTTGTACCATTTTCAGAAGAGTAACCACCAAAAATTTTACATGTGTCTTTCCAGAGCTTTTCTATAGATTTTGACATTCAGAGATATCTATGCACACACACAAAATCAGTATTCATGTATTGACATTTGGTTTTCTTTTTACGTAAATGGAAGTGTATTTTCTTCTTGTATCCTTAACAATGTGCCTTAGAAATCTTTCCATGGTCAGTCATAGATCTGCCACATTCTTTTTAACTGCTCCATAGTATTCCTTAATTTATGCATTCCCTAATTTACAGATATGTAGGTTTTCCCCCTTTTTCTTTTTTTTAATTTCTTTTTTTTTTTTTTTTTTTTTGCGGTACACGGGCCTCTCACTGTTGTGGCCTCTCCCGTTGCAGAGCACAGGCTCCGGACGCGCAGGCTCAGCGGCCATGGCTCACGGGCCCAGCCGCTCTGCGGCACGTGGGATCTTCCAGGACCGGGGCACAAACCCGCGTCCCCTGCATCGGCAGGCGGACTCAACCACTGTGCCACCAGGGAAGCCCCTCCCCCTTTTTCTTGTTATTGCAAATACTGCACTGAACTTCCTTGCACATATGTCCTTCACATAGAATACCTGCAAAGATATGTTGCATTTTAAATCTTACCACCCACCCACTGTCAAACTGCCCTCTAAATGAGGTACACCAGTTACACACCCCACAGTGGTCTATCAGGGCACCCGTTCCCTCCCATTCTCCCCCAAACTGAATATGGCAGTTGTGGTAGCCAGCCTCCAATGATCCTCACCTCCTGACTTCCACGTCTTCGTGTTGTCCCTTCCACACTAAATTAGAGCTGGTCTGTGCCCAGTAGAATGTAAGTGACCGTGTGTGTGGTATGTCATGAGAAGCCTTGCTTTCCTGGACTGCTTGTTCCGGAGGAGGCCTGTGGCCGCGCCAGGAGGCCTCGAGCAGGTCTGGAGAGGAACCGACGGCAATAGAAGCCTCTCCTCCAGCCCCATCAAGCCTTCGATGACTGCAGCCTCGTGAGAAGGAGTCACACAAGTTGAACCTGCCCAGCCAAACCACTACTGAATTCCTAGTGCACAGAAACCAGGAGAGCTAGTGAGTGGTTTGTTGATACAGCATGAGATTACTGTCTGCGACTGAATGTTGGTGTACCCTCCTCCCACTCCAATTCATACGCTGAAATCCTAACCCTCTCCCCACCCACCCCCCCTGCAGTGTGATCTGTGTTAGGAGGTGGGGCCTTTGAGAGATAATTAGGTCATGAGGGTGGAGCCTTCATGAATGGGATTTGTGCCTTTGGGAGGAGAGAAGAGA